GGACAACTTTCTTATGTATAATATTCTTGGCTGGCAATTTTTTATCTTTTAGCACTTTGACTATATCATCTCGTTCCCTCCTGTTCTGCAAGGTTTCTGCTGAGAAATCCACTGATTGCTTTATTGGTGGTGGTAATGGTGGTATGTGTGTTCATTGGGGGTTTTCTTGTATTATATAGGTTGCTTTTCTTCTGCTGCTTTCAAAATTTCCTCTTTGCCTTTGATTTTTCAGCATTCACTTATAATGTGTTTCAGTGTAATCTTTAACTTGAGCTTTTGAGCTTCATTAATCTAGATGTCCATATTTCTTTCAAGATTTGAGAAATTCTCAGGCAACATTCATTTAAGTAAGCTAGATATTTCTTCTATTCCCTTTTGGGACCTTGATAATGTACATGTTCATTCATTTATTTGATCATAGTCTCTGTATGCTTTTGTCACTTTTTAATTCATTTTTCTTTTTTGTTTCTCTAACTGGATAGGTTTAAATAATGTGTTTGAGTTCACTCATGCTTTCTTCTGCATAGCCTAGTTTCCTATTGAATCTATTAATTTTTTTTTCTTCAGTTATCAGTGTATTCTTCAGTTGCAGGATTTCTGTTTGGTTCTTTAGAGTTTCTATTCCTTTATTGAACTATTTGTTTTGTTCATGTATTGTTGTCCTATTTTGTGTTGAGTTTCCTGATTTTTGTTTCTGGGTTCTCTTGAATCTCATTGAGCTTCTTTAGAATGATTATCTTTAATTCTATCAGTCATTTCATGGATCTCCATTCCTTTGGGATCAGTCATAAGAGCTTTATTGGTTTACTTCAGTGATGTATTATATAATTGTATACATAGAAAACCAAAAAGAATCTATAGGAAAATAATTTGAATTAGGAAGAGCATTTAACAGGTTTTCCAGATATAATACCCATATACAGGAATCATGTTCCTGTTTATATGCCAGCAAAAAGCCACTAGAAAATGTAATTTTAAAAAGTTATTAAAATAATTTATTCAGGAGAAGTTCATTAGTGCATGGAGTCACTAGGTGAAAGGTTGATAAAAGGTGTCTTATACACACAGAAGAGACCACGCTGTCACTGCCTTAAAGCACTGGGTAATCTTAGCTTTGTTAAGAGTGAGAAAACCAAGGACCAGTCATGGTGGCTCACGCCTGTAATCCCAGCACTTTGGGAGGCTGAGGCAGGCAGATCACTTGAGGCCAGGAGTTTGAGACCAGCCTGGCCCACATGGCAAAACCCCTTCTCTACTAAAAATACAAAAATTAGCCAGGCTTGGTGTTGCATGGCTGTAATCCCCGGTACTTGGGAGGCTGAGGGATCGGCATGGCTTTAACCTGGGAGGTGGAGGTTGCAGTGAGCCGACATTGCACTACTACACTTCAGCCTGGGCAACAGAGCGAAACCCTGTCTCAACAACAACAACAACAAAAGTGAGGAAAATCAGACATTATATGCTCTCAGATTTGAGGCAGTGTCAGTTACACAACACCATTATTTATTATTTTTACCTAAAAATGGAAATGGAATATATTCAAGTCTTTAAAGCTAATATTCAGTATCAAAACAAACAAAAAGCAAGAGATATAGAGAAACAAGTTGAATTTCACCATGAAGAAGCAAACATACAATCTAGAGTGTGAGTCATTGTATGTAACAATTGATTTCCTTTAATAAAAAAATCACTGGCATTCAAAAAGGGTACTTTGGAGGAGGTAAGAGACCTTTCTCTAGATTAGTAGGGTTTTGAAAGATCTAACAAATAAGCAAAATATGTGGGCATTTTTTGTATTTTGATTCAAGTAAAGTAGCTGTAAAAATAAACTTTGAGATGAATGTGGAAATTTCAATATGGACTATATATTGAGGAATTATTTATTTTGTTACAATTTACATAGTTAAAAATGCTCTTTTTTTGGAGATGCATAAGGAAGCATGTGTAAGGGTGTAATGATGTGGTGTCTGGAATTTTAAATGATGGCAAAACATGTAATATGCTTAGGAATAAAATATATACACATCTTTTAAGGAGGAAAATATAACGCTTTGTTAGAAGCCTTTTAAGGAGACCTAAACAAATAGATAATACAGACTGTCTTACAAATTTTCATCTTAACGTTGGTGCAAAAGTGGTGCATATTAGCAAAACCATACTTTGAGCTTTGATATTTTCCTATACTAGCTATGTGTAGTATGATACTGTCTTGTGATGCTGGACAGTGGCAGTGAGCCACAGATTCGAGTTAGCCACACAACTAGGAGGCCAAACAACTGATACTTTCAGATTCGGTGTATTAAATGCATTTTGGACTTAGGATATTTTCAACTTAGGGTGGGTTTATTGGGATATAGCCCAATGGTAAGTTGAGGAGCGTCTATAGTATATATTAATGAATTGAAAGATCCAAAGCATGAAGTTTTTCGCAAACTTATATTGCTTCACTGTAATTGGAATAAAAATCCCAGAGGCTGCTGTTGGGTTTTTTGTTGCTGTAGTTGGTTGGTTGGTTTGGTGGAACTTGACGGGGTAGTTCTGAAATTTCTGTGAGAAGTGTAAAGGGCCAAGAATAGCTAAGACAGCTTTGAAGAAGAAAAAGGTAGGAAGCCTTACCTTACTAGTTACTTCTTATAAATGTATAGTAATTAAGGTGGTGTATAGATCTGGCACAGAAATATACAAACATAGCCACAAAACAGGTACACATGTATATAGAAACTTTGTACACATGCCAGAAGTGGCAATGCATGTAAGTATTCCTGGTAAAATTTATTATAAATACATGTAAAAAATGAAATTTTATTCTTGTCTTATACCAGACTCCCAAAATGGAAGTATATTCTTAACTCATAACACACACACATCAGTTTCAGATGGATTAATGACTACAATGTAAAAGACAAAGTTTAATGTAGTTTTAGGGGAATATCTTTTATAAACTTGGGATGGACAAGATTTTGTAGAAATGTCACAGAATTGTACATTATAAAGGAGAAGACTGATACATTTGAGACAATTAAAAATTTTAGGCTGAACGTGGCGTCACATGCCTGTAATCCCAATACTGGGAGACAGAGGCCAGTGGATTGCTTAAGTCCAGGAGTTCAACACCAGCATAGGCGACATAGTGAAACCTCATCTCTATTAAAAATACTACAAATTAGCTGGATGTGGTGGCAGATGCCCGTAATTTCAGCTGCTTAGGAGGCTGAGGTGGGAGAAATCTTGAGCCTGGGAGGTCAAGCCTGCAGTGAGCTGAGATTGTGCCACTGCACACTAGCCTTGACGATTGAGTGAGACTCCATCTCGAAAAAAAATTTTTTTGGAATTCTATAAATGAAAAGATGTAAAGAAATCATAGAATAGAATAAAATACATAACATAGATGAAACGTTGTCTTTAATATGTAAAGAATACCTATAAATCATTAAGAAAAAGATATCTTAATTCTAAAAATGGACAAAAGACATGAATAGCTATTTCACAGAAGTGGAAACAGGAATGACCAAATTCTGTAAGATAAGATATTCAGCCGGGTGCGGTGGCTCAAGCCTGTAATCCCAGCACTTTGGGAGGCCGAGGCGGGTGGATCACGAGGTCAAGAGATCGAGACCATCCTGGTCAACATGGTGAAACCCCGCCTCTACTA